AGGGAGGAGGAGAAGCAGCAGCGGCAGCAGCAGCCCCTTTGCAGGTCAGTCCAGCCGCCCGCGGGAGTCCGGCCTTTCCCTCTCTTCGTCTTGCTCCCCTCCGCGGGGCCCTAAGCTCCGCCTGCTTTCTTTCCCCCCCTCTCCCCTCCTCCGTCTGCGTTGGTGTCGAGCCAGGCCTACGCCGACAAGTAGCCCCTCCCCGGCCCGCTCGCGCTCGGGCTTTGGCCTGCCCGGCGGTCGCCTTCCGCCGCCCGCCACAGAGCTCAGGAAAGCGTGGGCACCCTGCGCGGTCCTGGGGGTTCTGACCTTGCCTTGGGAGGTCGCGTCCTTTTGATATCAGTGTGGCGCGATAGGGAGCCGCGGTTTGTCCAGAGCCCCTTAATATGGCTTACAAGTGCCAGGGATGCCAGCCTCCAGGTGGGGCCTGGGGGATCCCCAGGAATTACGGCTCATCTCCAGAGACTAGAGAGACCAGTTCCCCTGGAGAAAATGGACGCTTTGGAGAGTGGGCTCTGGCATTTGTATCCCACTGAGGTCCCTGTCCTTCCTAGGCTCCATCCCCAAATCTCCAAGAACCTGCCAACCCTACTCCTCCATCCTGCATTGTGCAGGGGGTTGGACTAGGTGACCCTGGAGGTCCCTTCCGACTCTATGATTCCATGATGTCTCACCCTGGCAACCCTACCAAGGCAGACTTGTCTGACGAAGATATCCTGGGAAAATGTATTTGTCTTTAAGGTGCTAAGGGACTGGAATTTTGCATGATACAGAAGACGTATTCCTGGCTTTGATGGTACCCTTTGTTCTTTCCCTTACAATAGGGCTTTCTTTAATACTTATATTGAATGCAAAAGAGGGTTTTCTTTAATACCAGTATTGAATGCAAAAGAGGGATTACATAGATAGTTGAGTTTATGCTGTTGTGTTTATGAATTTCATTTCCTTAATTTATAGCCTGTCTTTTTCTCACTGAGACTCAAAGGGGGATTATAAAATATAAATCTCTTTGTTACGGGGGGTATTCTGAAATGATGTCCACTAAAAATCCTAATACAGACTTACCTGTATATAATCACATCCTTTCTTCAAGAAGTTAAGAGTGATGTGTGTGGTCTTTCCATATTTATGCTCACAACAACTTTCTAAGGTAGGTGAGGCCAAGAGAGAGCAGGCCTGTAGCTAATGGTGGGTTCTCCTGCCACCCCCTGACTTCCTGCCAAGGCCCCCTGACTTCCTATCCAGCCCGCAAAACCCCCCCTCTCTGGGCCACCCGGAGGACTCCCAGCTGGAGCTGGTGGCAGCGCAAGGCTCCCCAGGTGAGGTCAGCACTAGGGGGGAGAGTGACTGGCTCAGGCCAACCACTGAGTTGTCGTGGCGGAGTGGGGATTTGAACCCTAGTCCTGCTCCACCACACCACCCATAATTCAACCAGGGTTGACAAAAATGCATGTGGTAGCTGCATTAAGTGCTTCATTCACAAGCTAATCCGCTGCTTAAATATATGCTCTCCCTTGTTCTTTTCAGGTTGCTTTGCAGGGTCTTTGCTCTGATCGCTTCAATGAAAGGCTTTTGGTTGGAAACACTGGATGGTGGGTAACACACCACGCTGTTTCCATCTTTCCTACCATACAGTGCAAAATATAGTTTCTTAAGCAGCCTTGTGCTGATGTTGGGTGTGGCTTTAGTGGGCACAGAAGCATCTTAACCTGGAATCAATAGGCAGTTTTTGCCAGGCCGGGCTGTCCTTCCTCTCCTCCCCCCCCCAGGGCAAGGTCATTTGTGTTCTGGTGCCAAGTACATGCCAGAATTGCCAGCTGGCTGTGAAAGCTGCAGTATGGCTTCAGTGGGCAACTTTATTCCAAAACATAAACAGCATTGGCTACAGAGGGAGAAGATGGTTTGGAGACCAAATAGATCATGGGACATTCCTTCTGGCTGCATCACCTGTGTCTGAAGGAAGCAAAAGGAAGTCACAGCTCCAGGTTGTTAGTCTGTTACAGCTAGAGATGTGAAGGCGAGGAAAAAAACCAGAAAAATTCGGGGCAAAACCGTTTTTTCCCCGAAGCCTATTTTTCTCTGAAAAATTGGAAAAATTGAAAAAAGAAAAAAAATTGATTATGGAACGTTTTATTTTAACATGATGAATAAAATATTTTAAGACAAGGTGTTCAAATATTTTCCAAATCATTTCTAATGTGTATGTATATGTATATGTATATGTGTATATATATATATATGGTATCAGATTGATCTAATTTCTGTGCACTGAGGACAAGCAAGTCCTAGGTTACAAACTGAACCCTCCAATGCAAGAACAAGATGCATTTCTTCCTTTAGGAGGTGCGATTGTCAGAAGAAAATAAAAAAGTTTCAGTTTTGTTTTTGCATGTGGGTGGGTATTCAGTTTGAAATAATTGTTTAAATACACTATATTTTTAATATGCTAGTTGTGATAATTTCATGCCAAGTAAAAATGTCCATAGTCATATTTTATGTTCCTAAAGTAACAGAATGACTTTCAGTCTAGAAAAGACAAAAGAAATGCCAATGTAGCATTTTTTCAATTTTTCCTAAAATTTCCGTTTTCCTCCGGAAAAAACCCGGGGCTTATTTGGGTTTTTTTCCGAGCTTAGCTCCCCCCCCCCCTTAATCTGATGGCACCTTAAAGACCCAACAGATTTACTAAGGCAGAAGCTTTTGTTGACTGGTGAAGTTGGCTGTAGTCCACCAAAGCTGAACTAAATCTTTTAGTCTGGTAGCCACCTAATTGTGTGTGTGAGAGAGAGAAAGAGAGAAGAAGAAGAGTTGGTTTTTATACCTAGCTTTTCACAACACGAAGGAGTCTCAGAGTGGTTTAAAATCGCCCACCCTTCCTCTCCCCACAACAGACACCCTGTGAGGTAGGTGGGGCTGGAGAGCTCTGAGAGAACTGTGACTGACCCAAGGTCACCCAGCAGGCTTCATGTGGAGGAGTGGGGAATCAAACCGGGTTCTCCAGATTAGAGTCCACCACTCTACACCATTACACCACACTGAGTGAGAAGCTAGTGACATGACCTTGAATTTGTGATAATTTTAGAGCACTATTCTAAGTGCAGCCAGTGGAGCTTGTTTGTTGGGGAGGGGTGTTTATTGTGTTATTTCACATTTGTTTTGTTTACTGTTTGTTTATCTCACTGGAAAAAACACCACCCTTGAGCTACTGGGGGTAAAAAAATGGGTATAGGTTAAAGGAGGGGTGTCGAACTCATTTGTTATGAGGGCCGGAACTGACATAAATGAGACCTTGTTGGGCCGAGCCATGTGTGTGATAAAATGTATTGCCATATTGCCAGGTAGTGGAGATATAAACTTTATAAAGGACACAAACATAAATATATTTTTTTACTTAAAATAAAAACATGCTTAAAACATTAGCTTTGTAAGCTGCAAACCTACTTTTGATTTATTGACATTCACCACAGAAATCTCATTCTCAGAGTTCTGAGTCTGGGACCCAGGTTAAAAAATGGAATGGCAAAGCAAGCTATGATGCAGCAGCAGAGCTGGAAGGAGGAGGAAGAAGACTTATCTGTCCATTTGAGATGTTATATTTGTAGCTATATAGCTTTGGGGAGAAGACCGTTTTGATTCAAGACTCCATTGTCGACTTTATTGCACATGGATGTAAAATTGAGACTCATTTGAGAAAGGCACTTCGAAACGAGCATTAACTCGAGAAGTTCGTGCCAGTCTGCTCACCTGTTGAATATAAAGATTATACATCATGAAATTCATCAGTATGAGAATCTAATTTACTTCTGTGTAAATTTACTTCAGTGTGCACGTTTGCAGCAATTTTTTGTTTTCCATTACCACTATATTGCTGTTCCCGTTGTTGTCATTTATATGTTAATAAACAGCCAGAATCTAAGTCCTCTTTCTACCTCATACTATTGTCCCCCTTTCAGAAACAGCAGCAGAAGCTACATTTGGGTAACAATATGTCTATTATAAGCAAGATACAAGTCCAGCAGCACCTTAGAGACCAACAAAGTCTTCAGGGTATGAGCTTTCAAGAGTCAGAGCTCCCTACCCTATCTGACGAAGGGAACTTTGAATCTTGAAGGCTTTGTACCCTGAAAATCTGGTTGGTCTCTAAGGTGCTGCTGGACTCAAATCCAGCTGTTGTACTGTGCAGACCGACATGGATACCCTCTGAAGCTATTGTAAGCAAAGTAACCCTGTAGTTTCATTGTAAATAAATAATTTCTTCCTTGCTCCATTTTCTTGTGTATCCATAATAATAATATAGTGTACATAGTAAGACTTTATTACTGTCATATGTTAATAAACAGCCAGAATCTAAGTATAGTTAAAAAGAAGTCCTGCTGATTTCAGTAGGATTAACTACTTGGAAAAAGGACTTGGAATTATTATTATTTAAAACCTTTATCAAATTTCTGTTTTTCCATGGCAAGTCGGGGTCTAAATTATGGTCATTCTGTCATTACCTTGTGTTACTTTGTCTAAACAGGGAAACAATTTGGACTTGGACTTTTAGCAGCAGGATTCAGAAGCATACTCATCTCTCTTAATGTGCAGCTGTTATAAAGTGCCCAGGACAAAACTGCATCACATTCCCTATCCTATATGTAATACTCTCCGATGCTTCCGGATTTGAAGCTTCTGAGTATCAACCAGTGAGTATCATTGTGTTGTCCTGCTGTTCTATCTTGTGCCCTGCTGTTATATCGGAAAGATCAGCTTTGAAACAGTGATAAAATTTTCTGTGCTTATATTTTTGGTTAGACAGAGATCCACTTCATACATTACACTTTTAGCGATATATACTGCATGCTGAAATAAACGTATATTCCAGTTGTGTGTGAAATATTTGTGGGTCAACACTGAAGTGCAATGGAGTGGCATTATGCTCATTCAGTTACACAGTAGCCCTGCTCACATGTTACAGTGAACACATGTTCATCTTGCCTGTACGTGTGTACATCTGTTTGTAAGTAAGACCCACACACACATTCTTTTTAAGAATGAAACGGGGGACTGAAACCTAAACAAATGTCACAACTTTCTTTCTAGAAAACAGAGCATTCTGGGATATCTTTTAGAAAAATGACAGTAAATATAATGCTCCATGTGGGAAATGTACTGAGGCACATAAAATCTATGTGGAAGAAGAGGAGGAGGAGGAGGAGATTGGATTTATACCCTGCCCTTCACTACCCAAAGGAGTCTCAGAGCAGCTTACATTCCCTTCCCCTCCACACAACAGACACCCTGTGAGGTAGGTGGGGCTGGAGAGCTCTGAGAGAACTGTGACTGACCCAAGGTCACCCAGCAGGCTTCATGTGGAGGAGTGGGGAATCAAACCGGGTTCTCCAGATTAGAGTCCACCACTCTACACCATTACACCACACTGAGTGAGAAGCTAGTGACATGACCTTGAATTTGTGATAATTTTAGAGCACTATTCTAAGTGCAGCCAGTGGAGCTTGTTTGTTGGGGAGGGGTGTTTATTGTGTTATTTCACATTTGTTTTGTTTACTGTTTGTTTATCTCACTGGAAAAAACACCACCCTTGAGCTACTGGGGGTAAAAAAATGGGTATAGGTTAAAGGAGGGGTGTCGAACTCATTTGTTATGAGGGCCGGAACTGACATAAATGAGACCTTGTTGGGCCGAGCCATGTGTGTCATAAAATGTATTGCCAGGTAGTGGAGATATAAACTTTAGAAAGGACACAAACATAAAGATTTTTTTTTACTTAAAATAAAAACATGCTTAAAACATTAGCTTTGTAAGCTGCAAACCTACTTTTGATTTATTGACATTCACCACAGAAATCTCATTCTCAGAGTTCTGAGTCTGGGACCCAGGTTAAAAAATGGAATGGCTGAATGATTAAGAGAGTCTGGCAAAGCAAGCTATGATGCAGCAGCAGCAGAGCTGGAAGGAGGAGGTGGCCAGTTCCACTGCGGGCCTGATGGAAGCCCTCCATGGGCCTGATTCAGCCTCCGGGCCGCATGTTTGACACCCCTGGGTTAGAGCCTCTTTCTACCTCATACTATTGTCCCCCTTTCAGAAACAGCAGCAGAAGCTACATTTGGGTAACAATATGTCTATTATAAGCAAGATACAAGTCCAGCAGCACCTTAGAGACCAACAAAGTCTTCAGGGTATGAGCTTTCAAGAGTCAGAGCTCCCTACCCTATCTGACGAAGGGAACTTTGAATCTTGAAGGCTTTGTACCCTGAAAATCTGGTTGGTCTCTAAGGTGCTGCTGGACTCAAATCCAGCTGTTGTACTGTGCAGACCGACATGGATACCCTCTGAAGCTATTGTAAGCAAAGTAACCCTGTAGTTTCATTGTAAATAAATAATTTCTTCCTTGCTCCATTTTCTTGTGTATCCATAATAATAATATAGTGTACATAGTAAGACTTTATTACTGTCATATGTTAATAAACAGCCAGAATCTAAGTATAGTTAAAAAGAAGTCCTGCTGATTTCAGTAGGATTAACTACTTGGAAAAAGGACTTGGAATTATTATTATTTAAAACCTTTATCAAATTTCTGTTTTTCCATGGCAAGCCGGGGTCTAAATTATGGTCATTCTGTCATTACCTTGTGTTACTTTGTCTAAACAGGGAAACAATTTGGACTTGGACTTTTAGCAGCAGGATTCAGAAGCATACTCATCTCTCTTAATGTGCAGCTGTTATAAAGTGCCCAGGACAAAACTGCATCACATTCCCTATCCTATATGTAATACTCTCCGATGCTTCCGGATTTGAAGCTTCTGAGTATCAACCAGTGAGTATCATTGTGTTGTCCTGCTGTTCTATCTTGTGCCCTGCTGTTATATCGGAAAGATCAGCTTTGAAACAGTGATAAAATTTTCTGTGCTTATATTTTTGGTTAGACAGAGATCCACTTCATACATTACACTTTTAGCGATATATACTGCATTCTGAAATAAACGTAAATTCCAGTTGTGTGTGAAATATTTGTGGGTCAACACTGAAGTGCAATGGAGTGGCATTATGCTCATTCAGTTACACAGTAGCCCTGCTCACATGTTACAGTGAACACATGTTCATCTTGCCTGTACGTGTGTACATCTGTCTGTAAGTGAGACCCCCACACACATTCTTTTTAAGAATGAAACGGGGGACTGGAACCTAAACAAATGAGGGCTCAAATCACTTGTTGAGCTGTACGTGTATTGATTGTAACATGAGAATTATTCAGTGCACATCCAAAGAACAATCCAGTGTACACTGATTGTACATGTGGTCACTGTAACTTGTTAACAGGACTATTATGTCATGGTGTGACTTGATTTTGTATGCCACAAGATAATCATTCTTCAGAAATAAAAATACATTAACTATGGTAATCTGTGTTCATAAAAAAAACACAGGCCTGTGCTCAAGCTTGACTGGGAGGCATTTCTGTCCCGTCCCCCTCCCCCCAGCTACAGGCGGTGATGGTTAGTGGATAAAGAAGATTGTCCTTCACATTCACAGGTGCATTCTCCAACCTTCCACTATGCTCAGAACAAAATATGCAAGACTGATAAAATCTTCCTTTCTCCCCTTCTCAGCTGTGGCTTTGAAGCAAATTGCAGGACTTAATATTGAAGAGTTAAATCTTGATTAATTTTTGTTTGTTTGAGAAAGTGACCCCACAAACCTGTTTCTTTATTAGGTATTTCGATACTGCTTCTCTCCCCATTGGGGATTTAAAGAAGCAGAACAATATAATTAAAACAGACAAAAAATTATCTAGATTGTCCCCTGGCAAAGATAGACATGCTAAAATTGCCATTCCTCCTCCACTCACAGAAGAAGGAGGAGGAGATGATGATGGTGATGATTGGATTTACACCCCACCCTTCACTTGGAGTCTCAATGTGGCTTACCAACTCCTTTCCCCTCCCCAGAACAGACACCCTGTGAGGTAAGCGGGGCTGAGAGAGCTCTTTCCAGAACTGTCCTTGAGAGAACAGCTCTGACAGAACTATAACTTGCCCAAGGTCATCCAGAAGCTGCAAGTAGAAAGCGGGGAATCAAACCCCGGTTGTCCCGGATTAGAGTCCACGCACTTAACCACTACAGAGTGAATAGGCTGGTTTCAGGCCTTTCTTCCATCCTTTATGCCATGCGGCATATGGTTCTGGAGGGTTCCCCATCCCTCAGCAGTACCTTTCAAAGCTACAGGGGGCTGCCTGGGAAAAGGAAGATTGGGCGGGGGGGAATCGTTCTGCAAATTGACTCTGTGTGTGTGGAGGCAATGGATCCAGCCTCATGTCCTCCTGCTCCACCACTATACATACTTATAAATACATTATATGCCATCATTGTAAGTTATGAGGAAGGTCCAATATATTCCTTATCCATTACAAGAATAAGGTACAGCCCTCTATAGAAGGAGCCAACAAGGTATGTATGGTGACTACCTGCTCAAATGGATAGCTTTTTTTTTTAAAGAAAAGGAAGATATTTACATCTTTCATCTTGATTTGTAGTCTCTATGGTGGTTAATAAAGAATCAAGGAACTACAATACAAGTTAAAATAAATTAACCATAGCTAATTAAATAAACAACAAATCAGGAAACTTAACATTATTCCAAACATTTCTGCAGAAGAGAACTGCCTTGGTTCACCTAAAAAAAATTGGAGGGGATGAGGCAAATTGCAGTAGGGGGAGAGTTCCACAGTCTACTTACATTTCCAGAGGAGGCCCTTTTCTGTGGAACTTTGAACCTCATTTCAGTTGACAAGAGTACATCCACTAGATTCGTAAATTTATGAAATACTGCAAATTTCAATATCTTATGGTTCCTCTATACATAGTAAATAACCTATGAGGCTTTTTCTGATGAATTTCTTTCCAAGATTATGGTAGAATATAATTGTCTACATAGGCCTCTTCAGCAAAACAGTTTTATCTTATTTCCAGGCTGACATTTGTCTGACAACAATGAAGTTTCTGCTGGTTTTTGATTTTGACCATACGATTATAGATGAAAACAGTGATACCTGGATTGTGAAATGCGCACCTGATGCTAAACTTCCTGATGAAATAAGAAACTCCTATCAGAAAGGACGTTGGACAGAATATATGGGCAGAGTTTTCAGATTCCTGGGAGACAGCGGAATAAGGGAAGAAGAGATGAAAAGGACGATGACAATGATACCTTTCACAAAAGGAATGAAGAACCTCTTAGAGTTTGTTGGCAAACACAAAGACGTATTTGATTGTATAATTATATCGGATTCCAATGCAATATTTATTGATTGGATTTTAAAAGCTTCTAATTTCTGTCAAGTATTTAATGAAGTGTTTACAAATCCTGCAAGTTTTGATGGATGCGGCTATCTTACTGTGGAGAATTTCCATGCTCACAATTGTGCACAGTGCCCTGTAAACCTCTGCAAGAGGAAAGTCTTAGAAGAATTCTTAGAAAGCCCTTCAAAACAGAGGATGAAGTACTCCCAGATTTTATACATAGGCGATGGTGGAAATGATCTGTGTCCGGTAATGTGCTTAAAAAAGGATGATGTTGTTATGCCAAGGCATGGATATAGGTTACAGAAAATGGTTTCTCAGTTGTCTCAGGATCTTGTCCCTTTGGAAGCATCAATTGTCACCTGGTCATCTGGTATTGAGATACTGGCCTATTTAGAATTACTTATAAAATAATAAAGAAAATGATCTAATTAATACCAATGAATAATAATAAATTGGTACTGGTATCTCAGTCTTCTCATGCTACAGCCATTTGTCATGAATCTTAGAGAAGGACAGTTTATTACGCCATTTTGATTCGTTGTCTTCCATTGTGCAGTTGTGTTGGGGAAAGTTGCATGGGAAAGCAAAATGCCTGAGCAAAAAAGGAGGCATAATCAAATGAAGCAGATGCCAGAGTCATTGCTGAATGTAGTTGCCATATGTCACCTTAGAGAAATGTATTTTTGTGTTTACTTCATTTATACTCCTCTCTTCTCCCCAATTGGGACCCAAAGTGGCTTACAACATTCTCCATTTTATCCTCATAACAACCCTGTGAGGTAGGTTAGGCTGAGAGTGTGTGACTGGCCCAAGGTCACCCAGAGAGCTTCCATGGCAGAGTGAAGATTCAAGCCCAGGTCTCCCAGATTCTTAGCCTAGCACTCTGACAACTGCAACACACTGAGAGGAGGTGATCAGCCATGTTCTTTTCCAACCAAAGCTTCTCAGTATTCCTCATGGCGTCCTCACAAAGGGCATTTTACAATAATTAGTCTTGGGAGTTATAGAGGCATGAATGACATCAGTCTCCTTACCACAGAGGTGTCAAACTCATTTGTTTCAAGGTTCAGATCTGATGTAAATGTCACTTTGTCGGGCCGGGCCATGTGTGTCATAAAATGTAATGCCAGGCAATGTTCCCTCTAAGCTGTGGAGTCCTGTGAGCAGAAATTCTACTTTGTGAGCTACTGGCGTTAAAGTTGTGAGCAGGTAGTTTGGCTGCTGCATAAAATTAGTTTGCTCTGGAGCCATCTTTCCTGAGCGAAGACAAAAATATGTGAACTGGAGGCTAAAAAACTCTGAGCTAGCTCACACTAACTCAGCTTAGAGGGAACACTGATGCCAAGTACTGGAGATAGAAACTGTATAAAGGACAGCAGCTGGTAAGCTCCGAGTTGGTGTATCCTCACTGCAAGGTCCTCATGGGCTGGGAGGGGGGTGCAGAGGAAAACCCACATAGGCAGACTGGAGAGGCAGCAGTGCAGCGCTGGGCAGATGCTCCCACGACACTTAACTGCTTTAGACAAGGTTGTTTTGCCATGCTGGAGCTACAATGGAGTGGCCCTGCCCCACTCCCCCCAGCACTTCCTCCCTTGCATCAGTTGCTCATGGGCCACATAAGAGCCCTGGGTGGGCCGGATCTGGCCCCTGGGCCTTATGTTTGACACCCCAAATGCAACCATTTTCCTCAGGCATTGTTGTCCACCCTCAAGTATCCAGACTCTTACATGAGTCACCAAGAGCCAAAATGATGTAGTAGACTAGGATCTGGATTCACATCCTGACTCTGCCATGAAGCTTGCTGTATAACCTTTCTCCGGTCATTCTCTCTCTCTGGTTAATCTGCTTCGCAGGGTTATTATGGGGATAAAGCAACAATAGAGTCTGTTTTGTGATGTGTGAACACAGGGCAAGGGAGTATGAACAGGGGCTACTTATATTCCAGAAAGAATAGCCAGAAAAGTATTCAAAATACTGAACTTGGTATTTATCTTAAGGAAGCAGATGTTCTGATGGAGGATACGCATGTGGCAAGGGGTTGCTCCATAACAACCCAGATGCTACTTTAATTTGTCTTAAGTGGCTTTATGGATTGCATTATTATTGTAATAACCAGTTGTCAGTTTCTTCTCACTCAAAGTCCCTTGCATCTTCATACCTCAGCTGCTACTTAAGAGATACCTAATCCCCCCCCCACCTACACTGTGAGCGGCAAATAATTTCTGTAGGTCCTAATCATGGCACGTACGTTTACCAAGGGGCAGATGCTTCCATGCCTCACAAAAATCAGTTTAAAATTGGAACTAACTTTGTTAACAAAGCCACAGATTTTTCAGACATCTCAACACAGTGTTGAGGCAGGCACCCTTCCTCCTTCAATATAACCAGTATACTCTGGCACATCATTTAAGCAAGTAACCTCCAGATGACACAAAATGAAAAGAGGATACAGTGCAGAAGCAGCATCCACAAAGAATAAATATGGACAACACATGAAGGTTGTTATAATCTTAAATTTGCTTGTTCTCTGTGTTTATCTGCAGATGTATTGTGTGGAAATCAAAATGAACAATGCAGTGAGAGGGGATATACTGTTTCTTAGCAGCTAGCAGACATTTAACAGCTAGTGGCTGGCTAGTTGCCCTTTTCTGTATGCATGTTTACTTGGAAGTAAGCCCTACTATGGTCAGTGGGATTTCCTCCAATGTAAATGTGTCTAGGATTGAAAATGTAGTAATCAGAATATGGGTAAAATGACAGTCTTGTGCATTATATAGTTGGAATGAAGAATGTTTCAGTGCCACAGACCCAATTCTGCTGCAGTCTTCTGTTGTTACTAAGACACCAGTTTTGTGCATCTTCATAACTGTGAGGATATTGCCCAAGAGCATGTAATCCATCTTCCCATGGCATTTTATTAAACTTAGGGTTGTGGTGTCAGCAATGGAGGTTTTAAAATATGACATATTTATAAACAGTGTTGTGTTTACCTTTTTACCTTATTGTGAAAGGTGATTGTGTTGAAATGGTTTGCTGAATACATGGCAATGTATATTTAAGTGAAGTGTACCTGGATAGCCCAGGTTTTTCTTTTAAAGTTTTTGAAAGTTCTTTTAAATGTTTGAAATTGGGGATAAGGAAGGACAAGGAGCAAAAACTTGATAGTTCCTAGCTGGCTTCCAGATCCCATTAATTTCATGGACATCTGCTGTCTGAAGAGTTTATTTGAGACTAAAGGACAGACAACAAATTTACTTAGAGATCTACTTATAGTTCAGTCGTTATTTTGTCTGAATACAATGTGCCTATTGCAACTGTACACTGTTTAAGATAACAAAGATATAATTTTAATTTATCATGTTTGTAGTTTTATATTTAAGGATCATGTTTATATAAAATATTTAAATATTTTATTAAAACAACTACATTTTAATTGAATTGATTAGAGTTGTAAATATAACTGCAGTATACAGTCAACAGAAAACTGTGTTAACAGTTCTGACACTATGGGAGAGAATGTTACAAGGATACTCCGGGTGTATTCATTGCTTGTGAAAGAATAAAACTACCATGTGGCACGTGCAATAACCATTCCATAGCTGTTCCCCGCATTGAAGTAAGATTGTCTTCTTGGATAGCCCAACAGTGAAAACGGGGGGGGGGGGGTTATTAGTAGAAACATGAAATTTTAAAATATATTCATCATTCACAGACTCTTTAACAGTTCAGTCTGAAGCAGAGTTATACCCTTCTAAATCCATTTAAGACAATTGTGTGTCTTGCTCTGTTTAGGATTATACTACATAATGGTCAGACAATTGAAGATTTTGGGGGGAGGGTTGTATATTTTAAAAATGCATGTGTGTGCACTTGGAAGTCATGGCAACCTCTGATTGTGCGTGCACCTGGAAGTCATGGTGACCTCTGGTGACTGACCCCTACTGAGGGCCTGGAGGATATTCAGAGAGGTGGCCTGACTAAGCCTACTCCCACCACCGGCCTCTGATATTCCAAGGAGGTCTCCCATCCAAGTACTTTGCCAGAGTCAACCCTGCTTAGCTTCTGAGATCTGACGAGATCAGGCTTGCCTGGGCGATCCAGGTCAGGGTGACAATTGAGGATTAATGTCAGAATATACATCTTTTTAAAGTTTTTGCCAATTTCATAAATGTCATAAAAAGGGCTGGCATAGCAAGAACTTACTAGCAGTGATTAAGTTCTGAGGCTGTGATGTCATTACTAGGAAGGCCCTTTCTTCAAGTCTTGTTTCAGGGTTTAGTCTTGGCAATTCCTTGCTCACAGAGCTCCCTTTGCCATGTCAGTGGGAAGACTTTTGACATACCTGCTTCTCTTCCTAACATATATTTAGGGCAAGTGTCCTAAGGTGAAATGTTATAATGAGGAACAAGCTTTATTATAATGTTATCTGAAATCTTATGCCTACATTTTAACTAAAATTCATATGGTCCACTATTGTGTTTCAAATTTGCAAAGAAAGTGGGACTATTCAAGACTATAAGCAACTTGTGTTGCATTGTCCTCAATATGCACACTTGAATACAAGCCCTTTGTGGATCAGATATGCCTAATGAAGCTTTCCTTGAAAGAAGCCAACAGCCTGCAGATGCGGTAGGTTAGGCTGAGAGTGTGTGACTGACCCAAGGTCACTTGACAAGCTTTTCATGGCAGAGTGGAGATTTGAATCTGTGTCTCCCAGATCCTAAGTCCACCAGTCTAGCCAGGACACTGGCTCAAGCATCTGTGTTTGGTATGTCCATCTTTTTGCACCATTTTGGGGAACCAGGAGTTTGGGGGGAGGCAATAACTAAAGTATGTACTTTACTGGCGACTGGGGATCTGGCTGGTACCGTACCCAGTGTTAACATCTCCACCACCACCTTGCAAGCAGCGAGAGTGCGGCGTGGGGGGGGGGGGGAGAGCGAAGAGCGGAGGGAGCCAGCTGAGACACCAAAATAGGAAGCGCTGCCTCGGCCGGTCCCATCTGCTCCTCCAGCTGGCAGGCAGGCAGCAACCAGAAGCGGCGTCTCTTCCAAAGATGGCCAAAGGAGCCGGAGGAGGGAAGGCAGCTGAAGCCTTCTGTCTGTCCTCTTTTTCTTCCCCCAGAAACAGCCGAGCGCCCTCGGTGCTCCCGTTTAGCGCCTCTTCGTCGCGCCTCTTTCCTCCTTCCCCTTGGCAGGGCAAATCCGAGCTCGCCCTGGACTCGCTGGTCGCCCAGCAGCGGCGGCCTCAACAAACAACGCCCGCCTGCAGCCAGGTCGAGCAAAAGTTGGTCCCCTGCTGTGAGTGAGCAACCGCCGCCACCCCGAGCAGCAGCTTGACCTCGCTCAGTGGCCTGTTGGCGGCGACCCCAGCGAAGCAGGCACGGCTGGGCGAAAGCGAGGAGCCGCCAGAAGCCGGGCGCAGGTCCTCACCCCGGCCGTCTTTATTAACGCTCCAGGGTGGGAGGTGGAGAACAGACCCGCTTTGAGGCGCGCTGACAAGCCACATGGGACAGCGGGGCACGCGCTCCCACAATGCCCCACGACCAATCCTAGCTGGTTACAAATATAGGTAGGTGGGTGGGCTGGTTGGGGGGGGGGGATCTCCTTGCTATTTGCCTTTTATTGCCTGCCTGCGACCTCCTACCTGCCCGCCTTTGTTTTCGGTTTCCCAAGCCCTTCCCTCCTCGGCCAAGCGCGGGGCTGCGCCTCCCGGGGCAATTGCTTTGGAGAGCA